CTCCCCCTCCTTCTCCTCCTCCTTCTCTCCTTCTCTTTTCCCCCTCCTCCTCCTCCTCCTCCTCCTCGTCGTCCTCCTCCTCCTCATTATCATCATCACCATCATCAATGGCAACTCAAAAGGAGTTATTTGCACGGATGGAAGTGCCTCTGAGTATAATGACAATGGAGCCGAAAAAAGAGCCTTGCTCTCATTCGAAAATTTCTTCGTGGCGTCTACCAAGCCCACTAATGAAACAAACAAAAATCATCATCATTATCACCTCCTATGACAGCAATATTAACAGCAGCAGCAGCAGCAGCAGCAGCAGCAGCAACAGAATCAACAGACGCTGAAGTTTGGTGGTTTGCCACTGACCAGCACTGCCATTAGTTCTTGCAACCGCTCTCCCAGAGATAAGTCTTTGTATCTGTCAATATTTACTCCATTTAATTTGCCCCTTGTACTGTTACAGAATTGCAGTACTTTTTAATTGGTCGCTTTCAAGGACAAGCGAGCTAACCCAGATTCCAGGGGTTTCCAGAAATCGTGACCAACACCAAAAGTAAGCATTGCTCTACCCATAGGAGAAGTTTGGTCTAATTGGCCTTTATATTTGTTTGGTTTTTGATAAAAACTCTCTTTGTCTTTTAAAGAAACTGAACAAGGGGCGAAATCTTTCCCTTTGATTTTCTCAAAACAGCATTTTTCGGGATAGCCCCCTTGTGCTTAAAAGCCACCAATTTATTTCTGTTTACTGTACATTTCAGCACATACTTTCTCATTATTTTAAAAAAAGTATTAACAATTTCACCAAGATATTTATCGGAACCATGTATCTGTTTACTGGACATTTAAGCATATAATCTCACAAGAGAGTGGCAGACCGACTATGAACGATGTACAAAGTATTACCCTGTATTCATAAAAGATTTTGAACAAGATTTTTTATAACAATATTTTTTTTAACCAGATTTTTTTCACTGAGATATTTATCGGAACATGCTTTTAGAAAATTCATCTCATTCCGTTTGGTGATCTTGCTGTCTTGAATTTCAGCAATGGTCAAGTTCTGACATTGATATAAGAGTTAGTACAACGACGGTGCTATCTTGTTTGCCCTTAATTTCGGTTAGTGTGTGTGGGTAGCGGTTAGTGCGCTCGTCTCCGAAGCAGAAAGTCCGGGTTCAAGCCTTGGTTCGGACACGGATTTTTTTCGTCCCCTCCTACCAACCCAGCAGTAATGGGTACCTGATGTCGAGTTGGGGAAGTAAAGGAAGCGTGGAAAGGAACTGGCCACCCTACCACAATACGCCGAAGGCCCCTGAAGTTGTCTCACGAACAAAGCAACCCCCAATGTCCGAATCGGATGCGGGAACAACTTTACCTTATGTGTAGGTGGGTCAAAAACGGGGGGTATTAGCTGTGTTGACATTATTTGTTTGCTTGTTTGGATTCTTGTCACGATCTTTCTTTCTAATGTACCATCACGAAGAACTATTATGCCCACGAGATACTTGAATTCATTAACTTGCCAAAGTCGTTTATCACTGATGGTAACGCCAGCTTGGTTTGTGTTCCGCTGATTGTCAGAACCTCTGTGTCTTGCTATCGACGACTTTCGTGCCATACTTCTCACACGCTTCATTTAGGCTCTTCAAATGTTTCTTGAGCTATTTGTATATGTCAAACACTGTGTGTGTGTGTGTATGTGTGTGTGTGTGTGTGTGTGTGTGTGTGTGTGTGTGTGTGTGTGTGTGTGTGAGAGAGAGAGAGATAGAGAGAGAGAGAGATAGAGAAAGAGAGAGAGAGTGTGTGTGTGTGTCTGTGTGTGTGTGTGTGTGTCTGTGTGTGTGTGTGTGCGCGCGTGTATGTGTAATTATGTATATGTGCATGTCTGTGTATGTATGTGTGTAAGGGTGTGTATGTGTGTGTATGTGTGTGTGCGTGTGTATGTGTGTGTATGTGTGCGCGCGTGTGTGTGTGTGTGTGTGTGTGTGTGTGTGTGTGTGTGTGTGTGTGTTTATGTGCGTGTGCTTGTATATCCTGATGTGTGCGCACGCATGTCTGTACAATAATAATATGTTACAACCAGACTGTGACATCACGAACTGACTGAAATTTAGTTACGTTTTATTCACAGTCTGACTGATTTCAGTCAACTTGTGTAACTCAACATGTTTAAAAAATAACCTACACCTACAGCTCAACTTGCATTCGCCCTCGCGTACTCCTCGGAGTGATTATTTCTGTGACACAAGTGCAACGACACAATGAGCACACTTTAAATACTGAACACACCTGACACAATTGCGACGACACATTGAACACACTTTAAACCCTCAAACTCAGTCAGCGCTCGAATTGTTAACCTTATCCGTACGTCGTGTTTTACTATCGTATCCCAACGATGTGTGGAACTCTGTGCCACCACTTTCCAAAGAGGAAATGTACTCGTTAATCCGATCCGTACGCTTTGCATAGCAGTCTGTCGAATGATTGTTTTAGAAATACTGAAAGTTTCAAAGAGATCTTCGCACTAGAAGTATTCTAAAGTGTGAAGAATATAACCCTTGGATTACAAAATGATCCCAGGGCGTACGGATAGGGTTAAACGTAGCAGTGGAACGTGTTGATAAGCGATATTCTTGGTTGAGTTGCGACGAGAACAAAATAATAAAAATTATGTCAGACATTAGGCCTATAGAGTTGAGGTTTCGTTATGACTTGTTTGAAAAGTACAATAAACTAAATGTCCGAAGAATCTTTTTCTGAAGGATGTTTATTACAATACAACTGAAGAGTTCAAGGTTGCCTGTGAATCATCCTACAGGAAGATAGTTCCTTCATCATTCTATCTCTACCACCATGACCAGTTGCAACATGTGCTTTCTTGATGATGTTCTATACGTCTTCTGTGCTGGTGCAGTAGACTTGAAGCTCGTCGGGTGTCCGACGTTTCTTTATACGTTTCTGCCCACCACCACATTCAAGAATTCCATACTAATTGAGAAGATACTATTTATGGAGGGACTAATTAATTGTGAAACGTGATGACAAAATGAGTTACTTCTAGGATTTGAGCCCTCTGTAAATAGATACAACATGCTTATAAATTGCGTTTTTACAATTCATAAGTAGGACTATGAAATAACCAAAGAAATATTGTTATACATAAAGAAGATAGTATCAATAGAAAATCTACAAATTTGA